TCTGCTACATTACATCTGTAAAATTTGATCAAATTTTAATCAATATTGATTATTTTACCTTACAGTTTACAAATATTTGTGCACGTGTAAATTATATTTAAGAACTTTTTTATTTCATCAAATCTTATATTAAAAAAAAAGAAAATTAATTTACCGATACGCATGAACAGAATCTATTCCCATCCTTTTAATATCGTTCATCGTTTGATTATTGGCTTCTGCATCGATATCCCAACATACGACTATTGCTCCTAACGAAGCATAGCCAATCGCTAATTCCTTTCCAATACCATGCCCTCCACCTGTTATCTGTGATATTATGTATATATATATATATATATATATATAACGTTTGTAATGCCTTTTTTAAATATAGAATATGAGATGTAAAATGTAAATGCTAATTGTTTTGTTTTATCCAAATCATTTTATCTTATACATATATTATAGATGTGCGCACGTGCGTGTGCGCGCGCGTGTAAAATATATGTACATATAATTTTATAATGTAATGATATAATTTTCAATAATCTCCTCACATAATAGAAATAACTTATCTTTTTAAATATTTTTTAATGTAACTGTGTTTTTTTTACATAACAATATTCCTAGATTAGGAATTTCTTACGTTACCAAAACAATTTCACCAGCTACGTCTTTTTTCTTCGGTGGAACGATTAATCTGTATACATCCTTGCAAATGTAATATACAATTTTCAAAACAAGCAATAATATCTCTGCTAAAAAAAGCAAGATATTATATATTTTTACCACGATTGTCTGAAAAATTAAATTTTTTATAAGAATATATATCAGTTTATGGAAAAATATGTGTTTATTATATTTATCTTTTGATAAATCTTTAGAAAAATTTGAATGAATTTGATTATGATATATGTTATAAGGGGTTCATTCCTGAATAACTTTGCCTTAATAGCTAGGGTGGTGGAATCTTATGATTTCTGAGATATTCAAAGTTAAAAAAATATATATAGGTAACTAAAATAAGAAATTGAATGTTTTTTAGAACGTTATTTATTTTCTTATAGCACACATTGTATATATACTTTATTATTATATGTAAAACAAAATGTACGAACAGAACATTTAGTGCATAAAATCGAGAATAGCTTAATAATTCATTCTATTACCGGTTTATTATAGAGCATCGACGTTATCTTGCAGTTTTGATGATAATTATTTGCAGTTTTAAAAAAAACCTTTTATTATATAAAAAAAGTATTTATTATATTGGGTGAAACGTCGCCTCCTTAATAATTTTATGAGGGAAAAGTGCACTGCCGCCCCCTTTCCCCCGCCTAAGTCGGCGTTTCTGTTTATTGCACAGAATTAATGTTTATTATAAGTAAGAAAGAAAGAAAGAGAATACGTTTTACATACCTGACTGCTTTCACTATCCATAATTCGCTATCCACTGTAGTGGAACACATTAAATTTCTCTTCAGTCTGTTCTGATGCAAACTCAGTAGTTAACTGAGTTTCAGATTAAAATATGTTAGTTCTTATTGCTATTTGATTTTGAAACAAAAACAAGTTTGTGGGAGAGGGGGTCGCAATTAGTTGTAAATTAAAAAAATCTACATACAGTAGAGTCTCTCTAATTTTGGGTGATAAGATCGGAATACCAAAATTACAGAATACCTTCACCATACACGAATCTACCAATCCACACAATCTTTACACAACCTTGTTGCATTGCCCTGCCTTCTATGACATAGAAGGGGCATGACATTAGTGTCTGTGGAAATATGTGTGGAAAAATGCTAAGATTAACGAAGCCAAAGTTAGAAAGACTCTACTCTGTAATATGACTCTGTAGTATTGCGATAAATGGAGCACGGAACGAGTGGTGCATAAAATTGCCAAGTAATATCATACGGCAAGACAGAGTAATTATACCTAGCTCTTTCCTTTATTTTTATTTAAAGTTAAAAATTCAATTAGAAATAAAATATACGTACATACTTATTGTTGAGATATGTATGATTAATATAAAGAACCGTTAAAGTTTATAATTATAATTATATTGCTTATAAGCAATAGTTTGAAGTCCTATTATACATAAAAAAAGTCTTTAGTTTTTGTTTTTCATATAGTATAAATAGAAATAATTATTGTTCAAAGTTCGAGTTTCTAATCGATAACTCGAAGTCTTATTGTATAAGAATAATGTTTTTAACTTTAATTATTCTTCACATGATATAAACAGAGATATTATTATGCAAAGTTTGAATTTGTAATTGATAACTTGCAGTTTAATTGTGTAAGAAAACTGTCATTAGCATTTAAAAGAGATTTTTTCCTCTTAATGCGTGTAAGAGCACTTATAAAAACTTGTCTCTTATTTTAATTTATGTTAAAATATTATATATTCAAGGTGAAAAAAACTCCGTTTCCTTGATAGATTATATTTACTTGCCCAGTAATGTCCTATTGTATTGACGTGTGTGAGTCATGAAATTTCATCGAAACTTTGATTTAAGAATGGTTTAAAAAGTCATATTCCGGCATTGTTGATCAAGATAGTAACATCACCCACTTTCTTTTTTACTTTCTCCGCCACCCTGAAGACTTTTTTCCTATCTGCTACATCACACCTGTAAAATCTGATCAGATTTTATTCAATACTGATAATTTTAATTTATAATTTACTAGAATTGTATTTTTGCAAATGTAAATTTTATTTGAATATTTTTCTTATTTCAAATTAATCTTGTAAAAAAACAGTATTAATTTACCAATATGCATGAACGTATCTATTCCCATCTTTCTAATATTGTCCATCGTTGGTGTTTTCTTTATTCTTACTCCAACATACCATTGTTGCTTCTAACAAAGCGTAGGTCATGGTATCGGAAAGGAGTTAGCAGTAACAATCACTAATTCCTTTCCAATATCATGATCTGCACCTGTTATCTATGATAGTATGTATAAAATATAATTTAAATTATAATTATTATAATTTATAGTTAACAAATGTTTAGTTTTTAAAAAAATAGTATCGATGTTGTATTTTTTAGCTAAACTTTTATGTTTATGCTTTGAAAAGAAGTTACGAAATTGTTTGACAATATGAAAACGAATGTATCAAATAGACAGTTTAGAGACAATCAGTAACTAAACATAACATAAAACACTCAACATAATTTGCATTTCTCAATAATTAAGAAATGAATTAATGTATACATAAATATCAAGGTTTATATCAACAACAAGATCAAACTGTATAAATTTTTGTAAAGATTTTATTGTCTATCTCTCATGTCCGGCATATTTTTCCTACTTTAAAGTATTCAAAATTTAAAATGAATATGAAAAAAGTACTAAAAAGTATTAAAAAATTTAAATTGAATATAAAAAAAGTCACGAAACATCTGTCTATATTGTAGTTAACAATTTCACTTATTTTGGTAAATATTGTTTTTTAAACATTTTATTTTTAATTTTGAATAAAAATTAAGTAATGAATTGTTTGTAATTTTTTCATACAAAAGAGAAAAAATCCGTTTAAGATTTTATCCTTTGAAGTAGTAGATAAGTGTTTAAAAAAATAATACAGATTGATATTCAAAAAAGTTTAATGGACATAGATCTGATACGTATGTGTGAGAGACTTGCTTAGTAAAGCGAGCCACTAATCTCTTTAAGGCATGTCTCTGGAATCTTTTCAGTTCCATTTACTTTTTTTAGAGAGGTAAGCCAGACAAACAGGTTTGCTGATTTCATAACTTATACGGTACGTCATATGTTGTTGCTTTCAAACATAAGCAGTTAGATATTTAATACTTCTTCTAGAGAAGTTTAATAAAATTTCATAAATTTAAAATTTTTATTATAGAAATGAAAAAGATAGATAGGTAAATAGAAAAAAAAGGTAAAAAAAAGATAATAGAGAACAAAGAGAAAGAATTTATTTTTACATGTTGTTATATAAAAATATTATCCAAAAACAGTACATGAATATTAATGTAACATTATTGTTAGTTAATTATTTTTATAGGTTCTTTTCTTGAAGAAATAGCATTTCTCTATGCTTTTTGAAAAGAAATTTAAATTTGTAATTCTTATGTTCTTTTTTGTTACAAAAAATTAAGTTTATTACACAGTATTCGTATTTATTGTAAGTAAAAAAGAAATAAAATTTGTTTTACATACCTAACTGCTTTCACTATCCATAACTGTTTTGTAGTGAGACACGTTAAATTTCTTTTCAGTCTGTTCTAATGAAGACTCAGTAGTTAATTGAAGTCATACTTCTATATATTTCTTGAGTTTTAAAGATAAAAACAAGTTTGTGGGAGAGGGAATTACGAGTTAAGAGACCTTAATTAATTTCTTACATAGATCAGAGGTTGATAATGCGACTCTGGTACGCAGCGCGGAACGGGCTTGCCAATTTATTCTTATAGTTTCTTTTTTTAAAGAAATGCATAGAAGCATGCTTCTACGTGTCTAAAAAAATTTAATATATTTTATTTGTTACTAAAAATTGAGTTTATTACACAGAGTTAGTGTTTATTACAAGAAAGAAATAGAATTCGTTTTCACGCACCTGACTGCTTTCGTTAGCCATAACTGTTTTATAGTAGAGACACATTAAATTTCTTTTCAGTCTTTTCTGATGAAAACTCAGTAGTTAACTGAAGTAGTAAGGTTCAAATACACAGTTTTTATTTTTAAACGTTTTTAAAGTAAAAGAAAGTTTACGGGAGAGGGAGTTCACGAGTTTCAAAAATGTCTCTCTGCGGATTAGAGAATGTACAATAATGCCACCATGAATATGGTCAAGATGATGCCGCAAATGTCTTGAAGTATTTTCTGATTGGTTAATTTGTAAAATTCTTTGATTGGTCAATGAAATGCTTTAAAACATTGTAACATCAAATTGACTTCACCCTACTACGCAAGTCTAAACGCCAAGGACGAAAGAGACCCATTCACTCTTTTGCAAAGTTGCTTGTTGCGCAATATACTTAATTGATCGTAAATGGGACTAACCCTGAAGACTTCGTTATGAAAGAAGACTTAGTATTTAACTGAGATCAGACTTTTATTTTCAGTCTTTATTTTTTGATATTTTTAAATAAAAAACAAATTTGTGAGAAAGGGAATTACACAAATTATGAAACTTTGTTACATCAGAGATTGATGATGTGACTTTGCTATGCGGCGCGGAATGGGCTTGACAAGTATGCGCGCGATAACGGCAAGACAGACAAATTATCTCTTTCTATTATTTTTATTAAAAAAGTTAAAAAGGAAATTAAAAGTAAAACATACGTATATATCACTTATGTGACTAACAATAAGTCACACTTATTATTAATTGAGCTGAGGTATGTATGATTATCTCAATATAGGTTGAACCATTTATAATAGGTTCAATAGTTTGAAATCCTATTGTACATAAAAAATATATTTTGTTCATTCAGTTTGTTCTCCATATAGCATGAATAGACGTCTTTGTTCAAAATTCGAGTTTTTAACTTATCTATAACTCAAGATCTTATTGCATAAGAATAGTATTCTTATCTCTCTCCATATGACATAAAAACAGATATTGTTATGAGTTTGAATCTGTAATTTATAACTCGAAGTTTTACTATAAGAAAATTGTTATTAGTTTTACTGCCCAATGCAGCACGAAGTAGAGTTATCGAATTATTATACAAAGGTCCGAATTTATAATCGAGAGCAAGTGAAGAGTTGATTTCTGGGGGTTGTGCCCATGGAGACATTTGTTCAGGATGTCGAAATCTACAACATATCAAAATTTCAAACAAAGTTTTCGTCGAAACCCAATTCTATAAGAATGTAGCGAGGTTCTTTTAAATTATCTTACTTTTTAATCATGTGGATAAACACCGGAGTCAAGAGAGACGAATACACTTTTCAACGCTTTGTAGGGTATAATTCTGAAATAAAAATTATTTTTACAATTATAATTTTATAAAAAATTTCATATAAAAAAATTTCTATCTACAATTTTACTATATTTAGATATAAAAATAATAAATATCGAGAAAATATTCAAATTAAATTTTATATACATATAAAGGATATAAAAATAGTAATCACTAATCATAGTACAACAGCCGCTCAGTATTAGTAATATATATATTCACAGTAAATTGTTCAGCGGCTTATTGCCATAATATATTTGAAAATACATTGTATTATGATTAAATTTTTATTCGCTTGATTTACATACCTTACTATCTTAAAAATTGGCATCCAATATAATGGCGTAGATATATAATCGTAGTTTCGTCTTTGCGCATCAATTATTAACGAAGCTGCTTCCTGTGGTGAATGTCCTCCCATTAACCATGGAAACCTAAGTATATGAGTAAATAAAATTGAATTACTTATATTCCACTAAATACCGTAAAAACTAGTTTACAGCAAAACATTATTTTAAACCAAACAAAGTGTTTCTCGTAGATTTTTAAATGCCGCAAGCCAAAAAATTCCAGCACATCCAGGTTTCTAAGATAATTAAGATTTAATGTCCGAAAATGGCTTTTTTACGATATTTGACATTTTTTTGTAAAAAAGGTTAACGTTGTCTTTAAATTCTTATCAAAAGTCATGTATTGTTCATCCCCTATAAAATGTATTTCTTTTTTATTTCAATAACTTATTTTTTAGCCATGTTATAAAAGGATTTAAGTATAGGATTTTTCTAAGATAACAAATTTTTCGGCTGATGAAGTTACATGTACTAATAATTCTTAGTTCGTGCACATCCTTATCGATGCACATACACAATATAATTTATTGTGCTAGATACGCGTGCGCGCGCGCGCGCACGCACACACACACACACACACACACACACACACAAATAGCTCCTAATTTAAATCTTTCATAACATGACTAAAAAATAAGATATTAAAATAAAGAAAAATGCATTTTATAGGGGATGATCGGTACATTCATAATTTCTGATCGAAATTTCAAGATACCGTTAACATTCTTTATATAAATAAATATAAAGAAATAAAAAAAATAAATATAAAGATATAAAAAAATGTCAAATATCGTTAAAAAGCTATTTTTTGGACAGTAAACCTCAATTATCTTAAAAACCTGACATGCTGAAGAAATTTGGCTTGCGGCATTGTTTTCAGCATCCAAGAATTTATAAAAAACACGTAAGCCGGTACAAAGTAAAAAAAAAACATTTTTTTTTTTGTGAACTAGTGCAATTTAATAACGTCGATGTCGTAAAAACAGTTTTTATAAAATGAATGAAATGCGCGTGTGATATTGCAAAACATTTGTTACTATAGTATATGGTAATAAATTAATTGTTACCTTAGTTTTGGCTTTTTGACCAGTCCAGTATGCACTAAGCCCGGATAAATAGTAGTGAATTTTATAGATGATTTTCCATTACTTAATACACGTAATTCTTCAGATACAGCTTCCATAATTGCTATAATACATATGTTAAAATATGTAAGACAAGTTTACTTATAATTATATGTATACATACATATTTTACTAGCAGCGTGTTATTATACAGAGTGTTCATTTTAATTAATCCAGAATAATGAAATGAATTGATTAGGATAAAGAAAACACACAGTTGCTTTGCAAAGAGGTATGCAATTTTTACATATTTTTTTGCAAAGTAACTTTGTGTTTTCTTTATACCAATCGATGTAATCTCATTACTCTGTGAATAAAAGTATTAAGGTACAATTATCAAGAAATCAATAGTTTACGAAATATTTAATATTTTATATGGAAATATGATAAAGTATGAAAAATTTTATAAAATATTGATTTTTCGATAACTTTATTTTAATACTTTTATATGCAAAATAAATAAAGGAATTATGTAAGAAAAAAAATTATATCATTCTGTATCTTTAAAATCATATCATTTTATATCTTTAAAAAAGTGGAGATGACCTCCATATCTTTTTAGCACTTTCGCCTAAAAAAAAAAACAACGTGATCAAAGTGTGTCTTTTCGAAACTCTTATACTTTCATCTAAAACATTTTGGTGTATCATTAATAATTGTGGAGAAATTTGACTGGATTGATTAAAATGGGATATTCTGTATAGTGTATATGATTATGTACAATGTATGTATGTATACATATACATATGTGTATGCATGTGTACATATCAATTAAAAAAAAATGTATGTGGCTTCGCGCGCGCGCATATAATGTATTTATCTTCATTTATATATTTTGTATTTGTCGTGTAACATTGTATCATTCATAGTTAAATATGAGATAAATTACCTCCGACTGCGAATTTTGTAGCGCAATAGGTCGTTGCATAAGGAGCTCCAAAAAGTCCTCCTATTGACGAAACTGCCACAACATGACCGTGATTTTTATCTATCATACTTGGCAAGAATGCTTGTAATGTCTGAAAATATTATTTTTTTGCAAACAACAATTAAAAAAAATTTAATTACATACTTATTGTAAGTATAGTATATTTCAATTACAAGCGGCAAGCTATACATTTATATTTGTTTCAAAAAATGATATTAGTTGCGGTAGTAACGGTTATTTTTTGTATCACAAGATTTTAACATATAATCTTACGTCTTATGATAAAACAAACCTAAATAAAATATAATCGATATGATAGATGCGGATTGGATCTCAAGTCATTTCCCATAGATTTTTGGACGCAGAATTCGAATCTGACTGTAAAATTGCTTTATCAGATTTACGAGATAAATAAGATTAAAAGGATCAATGACGTTTTAAGCAATGTTCATGCATTTATTTAAAGAACACCGATTTTTCGATAATGTCTTTTCCTACCCTGTCGTATAGTGTCAGTCTCGAACTGCAAAATTCATTTTGAATCGTCTCTATAGGATTTTATTTTGTCCGAGATATACAATATTTAAAATATGAGATAAGTTTGCAACGCTTATATGAACATGCACAATTAATATATATACATGTCGCACACAAGATACAAGACTTGTGAATTAATAAGTTTAATTTTAATGCACATAATCTTAATTTTTACATTGCGTAAAAACTATAGGTAAATATAGGTCAAATATGATTGAGTTGCGTGTTCAAAATGAATTTGCAGTTCAAGACTGTTAATTGACTTAAGAAATTCAATCCATATGTATCATGCCGATCAGTGATATTTTTAATACGTTATTTAAAAAAAAATTAAATTTTTTCAAAGAGGCTTTTTTTCTTAATGCGCGTAAGAGCAATTATAAAAACTTGTCTCTAATTATTTTAATCTGTTATACAATATCATATATTCAAAGCAAAAGAAAACTCTTGGATCTGTTTTCTCGATAGATTATATTACTTGCCCAGTAATGTCCCATTATATTGACGTGTGTGAGTCGTGAAATTTCATCGAAACTTTGATTTAAGAATGGTTTAAAAAGTCCTATCCCGGCATTGTTGATCAAGATAGTAACATCACCCACTTCTTTTTTTACTTTCTCCGCCACCCTGAAGACTTCTTCCCTATCTGCTACATCACATCTGTAAAACCCGATCAAATTTTATTCAATACTCGATAATTTTACTTTATAGTTTGCAAGTATTGTATTTGTGCACATGTAAATTCTATTTGAATACTTTTCTCATTTTAACTGAATCTTGTAAAAAAAAACAGTATTAATTTACCGATATGCATATACAGAATCTATTCCCATCTTTTTAATATCGTCCATCGTTTGGTTGGTGTTTTCTTCATTCTTACCCCAACATATGACTGTTGCTCCTAACAAAGCATAGCCAATCGCTAATTCTTTCCCAATTCCATGACCTGCACCTGTTATCTATGATAGTATACACATATATAAGGTATAATTTAAATTATAATTACAAATTATAGTTCACATATTTTTAATTTTTAAAATAGTACTGATGTTATATTTTCTAGCTAAATTGTCATGTTTATGCTTTGAAAAGAATTAAATTACAAAATTGCTTGACAAAAATGATTGCTAATTAGACATCAAATTGGTGTTGAATTTTGGTTAGTTTATTTGAAATCATTGTATCGATATTGATTCAACATTAATTTAATCATTTCTCACTGGGTTATTTGTATAGTAAAAAAGAAAGAAAGGCTAATTAGATAGAGAGAAAAAGGAAAATTGAAAATGTTAAATATTAATGTATCATATGCTTTGTGTGTCTTTCTCTCTTTATTTTATGATATCTATACATATATTAAGATAAAATTTATATAAGATAAATCTATATAGGATAAAATAATTTTGATAAAACAAAATAATTTACATTTAAATTTTACATTTTATAACTTCAACCTTTTAAATTCACTATTATTTTAACTAATTTTAAAAACACACACACACATAAAATTTTATAACATATCCGTATAATTTTTAATGATCTTCTCAATAATAATTCGTAATAAAAATAATTTATCTCTTTAAATATTTAAATTTATAACTATTCTTAAATTTATAACTATTCTTTTTACAATATTTATAGATTAGAAATTGCTTACGTACCAAAACAATTTCACCAGCTATGTCTTTCTTCTTTGGTGGGACGATTAATCTGTATACAGTCTCACAAATGTAATATACAATTTTCAAAACAAGCAACAATATCTCTGCTAGAAAAAGTAAAGTATTGTATGCTTTTACCCCGATTGTCTGAAAATTAATGATTTTTTAATAAGAACGTATAATATCAGTCGATGGGAACATATGTGTTTATTATTGAATATAATAAATCTTCCGTTAAATCTTTAGTAAAACTTGCATAGCTTGAATGATCTTGACTTTGATATATGTTATAGGGAATTCATTCTTGAGTAACTTTTCCTTAACAATTAGGCGACAGATTTTTATAGTTTCTGAGATATTTAAAGTTAAACTTAAGGTTAAACTCTTGTTTAAAGGAGGCACCTTTAATGACTTATATCAAGGCATCTTTATACGTTAATTCATGAAACATCTGTCTACGTACATGTAGTAGACGATTTTATTGTTATTTTGAAGAACATTGTTTCATTGAACATATTGATAAACATTGCATCAATAAATATTATTTATTAAATATTTTATTTTTAATTTTAAATGAGAAAGAGGGAAAGAAATTAAGATCATTTATTTATTGACGCGACCTGGGATGATATCTCCTCAGGCACACAAATAGATACTCGTACACATTCTATCCCTCTCGAATAGAAATTTAAATTTGTAATTTTTATTTATTAAAAAAATTAAGTTTATTATACAGTATTCGTATTTATTGTAAGTAAGAAGATTTATTGTATGTAAGTAAGAAAGAAATAAAATTCATTTTACATACCTGACTGTTTTTGCTATCCATAATTGTTTTGTAGTGAGACATATTAAATTTCTTTTCAATCTGTTCTGATGAAGACTCAGTTGTTAACTGAGATCAGAGATCATGTATTTTTAATGTATTTAAAGCAACAACAAGTTTGTGATGAGAGAGGATTTACGATAAAAAACCTTGCATTGATTAGAGGTTGATATGATGCGACTCTGCTATGCAACGTGAACGGGCTTGCCAAAAATTATACGTGCGATAATGGCAACAGAATAATTATATCCATCTCTTTCTGTCATTTTTATTTAAAATTAAAAAGAAAATAAAAAATGGAGCATACGTATATATCACTTGTGTGACCGAGTCCCACTTATTGTTAAATAAGCTGAGGTATCTATGATTATCTCTATATAAGCTAGACTGTTTATAATAGGCTCAATCAATAATTTGGAGTCTTAAGTTGCGTTCCGATATTCACTGGCAGTACTGGCAGCACTGCAAATACTGTTCCGATATACGTCGCAGTAAACTTTCCGAGTGCCTTCGCGTGCATGTGACGTCATACATTTTGTTGTTACGTTCTACTTTCATTACTGCGGCGAGAGAGAAGAGGCAGTCGCAGTAAAAACGACGTCCATGACATTTTACAGTGGCATTTGATTTACATTTTTGATTACTTTTATAATAGCATTGACATATCTCGTTCATCGTCTGACAATCGCTGTCTGATCCCAATAATTTTAAACATCTAGCAAGCTTAGATATCATGACTATTTTTATATTTATCAATAATTTCAATTCTTGCTAATACACAGGACATATATTAAAATTGCTGATAGATACAACCGTACTGTGGATACCGTTCCGTTATTGTATCGCTATATATGGAATTAGCCTTAGTAATAACGGAACATTCTTAAAGCTCTACTAAATTACGTCATAGCGCCAGTACTTACAATGAATATCGAAACGCAGCCCTATTGTACATGAAAAATGTATTTTGTTTTCCATACATAGATATTTATTATCGTTCAAATTCATGAGTTTCAAACTCATCAGTCATTGATAATTCAAGATCTTATTGCATAAGAATAATATTTTCATCTCTCTTCATATGACATAAAAAGGGATTAATATCGATTAATACTTAATAGTATTATTCAAAGTCCGAGTCTGTAATTGATAGTTCGGTTTCTACTATCCCTAGTAAAAAAGAACTACTCTAGTGCAGTAAAAACACTACTGATTGTGAAATGTAGTAGTGTCACTGCTATAACAGTAGTGCCACTGCTACATTTCAGTAATGTTATCACTGCACTAGTAGTTCTTTTTTACGAGGGATGTAAGAAAATTGTCATTAATTTTGCCGTTTCTATGCAACATGAATCGAGTTATTATAATGCAAAAGGTTCGAATTTATAACCGAAAGCTTGAGATTTTAACACAAAACAAAAAATATTGACGAAATAAAACGATACATGAAAAGTATTATTTATTCTCTATGTAGCATGAATAAAAATATTATTTAAAATTCAAGTTTCTAACTCATTGATAACATAAAGTTTTATTGCATAAGAATAATATTTTCAACTTTATTTTGCATATGATATAAACAGGAGATAAAATCGAGAGCTTAATAATTTATTCGTAGTATATCTTCTAGTCAATGTTTTCTTGCAGTTTTGAAATAGAAATTATTTGCAGTTGTTATAAAACCTTTTATTAAAAGACAAAAGGATAAAAATTATTGAAGGAAAGCGTTGGCCTTTGAATAATTTTATTAGGGGAGTGAAAAATACTCTGTTCCCTAAAGTCGGTGCCTGTATATTTATTACACAGAATTAGTATTTATTACAAGTAAGAAAAAAAAGAATGCGTTTCATCTGACTGCTATCCATAATTCGCTATCCATTGTTTTGTAGTGAGATACGTTAAATTTCTTTCCAATCTATTCTGATGAAAACTTAGTATTTAACTATAATCAGATTCAAAAAAGTATGCCAGTTCTTATTTCTAGTTGTTTTCAAAGCGAAAACAAGTATATGTGGAAGTTGCCAGTTATGAAAAACTTGATCGTTTCATTGATAATAGATTATACAATGATGCAACTCAGCTGTATTATGATAAATAATGCAGCGCGGAACAGACGAGGCATAGATAAATGTTTTATTCCCAAGTGGCAAGGTGACGTTAAATGACGTTTGAATAACGTCTTATTGTCGTTAGAGACATCTTTAAGACGTTATTACAACACCTTTTGACATCACCTTGCTACTTGGGTTGTAGGTACATGAAAAAAATCTTTATCTCTATCTAGCATAAATAGGAATATTATTGTTTAAAATCCAAGTCTGTAATTCATCATTAAATCTACAAGATCTTATTGTACAAGAATAATAGTTTTACCTTATTTCTGCGTATGATATAAAAATAGATGTAAATTATTATGCAAAGTTTGAATCTGAATAATTAATAGCTAGGAATTCTGTGTAAGGAGACTGTCTGTTAATTTTGTTGTTTATGCAGCATGAATCGAGTTATTATAACGCAAGATTATTTATAACATTTATCATTTATAACTGCTCGAGAGTTTAATACAAAATAAAAAATATTGTCAAAATAAAACGAAATTTAACAAAAAAAAACAGTCTAACATTGTGTTAATAATAAATCTTATATAGAATTTTACCAAAATCTTTAGAAATCCTTAGAAATTTCTATTATATAGGTTTGTCAAAAACATAAACATGCGCACACATGCGCGCGCGTGTGTGTTTATAAATATATATATATATATATCTTGGTTAAAGGAGAAAATAAAGTCAAAGGAATATCATATGTTCAACAGGATACTTAATATATTATCAAAATTCTTGCTACAGAATTTTAAGTGCGAAAAATATAATAGCCTATCGACCAAGCCTATGATAATATTTTTTTAATATGTTAAAGAATGACCGGAATTGTCAAAAAAATTTAGAATATCACCACTAATTTCTATTGCAAATTAGAGTTTTGGGTGGAAAGAGTTAAAGATATTTAATAAGTTTTAAAATTACTATAAGTTTTTTGAAACATGGATTAATCAGAATTGAGATTTTATAAAATTATCTTGGCGAATCAAATTTTGCAAGCGCGTTGCGTTTGCTTATCTAAAAAACATTTAATTTATAAAGAGCTTTTGTGTTAATAATTATAAACCTAAACAGCAAGCCAATAAAATTGTTAATATTTACTAATACAATATTATAAGAGAAAGGAATGTTCGATGCGTTCAAATACCGTCGATTCCTTACATATCATTGATTTATTTAAACAAAAAAAATTGGGAAAGCATTACCTCGTAACATATGCGATAAATTTTTTTATTTATAACAAGCATCATTTTAAAGAAAATATATACTCAAGGAAGCACTAGACTTGATATCAAATTAGAATTACTTGAAGTCAGACGAGTTAAACACCAAAAAATTGTCTAATAAAATCAAATTAATATTTGTTAATTATAACACATAAGCAATAAAAATAAAAATGGACATATTTTTGATGTAATAAATTATATTATAAAATTTATATATTTCAAATTATCCTTATTACTTTTTAATCATCTGGATCAGCACCGAAATCGAGAAAGTCTGCTAGGCATTTCAACGCTTTATCGGGTAAAATTCTGAAATAAAAATTATATTTTTATGATATAAAAATAGTAAAGAACTGAATAAAAATTATTTTTACGTCTACAATTTTATAAAAAATGTATATATATAATTATTTTATTATAACTAGATATAAAAAAATAATAAGTATTCAAAAATATCTAGAATAAAAATTATATTTTTATGGATAATTTTATGATAATAGTAATCACAGTACAACAGTGCTTAGTATTAGTAATATCTTAACAAAATTGTTCGGCGACTTAATATCATATATTTGAAAATACATTATGTGTATTATAATGAAAGTTTTATTAGCATTAATTTACATACTTTACTATCTTAGTAATGGGCAGCCAATACGAAGGTATGCTTGTATTTTCATAATTCCGTCTTTGTGCGTCAATTATTATTGAAGCCACTTTTTGCGGTGAATGTCCTCCCATTAACCATGGAAATCTATTTCATTAAACAAAATTGAATGTTATTTATAATAATTACTTTAATAACTGCTATAAATATTTTATTAATTAAATAATTTTGTCATTATACGAAAAAAATCGATTACAATCAAAATTAAAATGAGGTCAAACTAACGAGCATTTAAAAACAAAGATGTTAGCGTTTATTAATTATGAATAACTTACAAAAATGATGCAAAATAAAACATATTAGCGGTATATCTTTCAATTTTACATAGTTTTCATCAACCGTAACATATTTAATATAAATTATTAACGGTGAGTCATATAGACATAATGTAAAATAATAATAAAGAAATTAAAATTAAGATAATACGTATAAGAGATGAATAGACGTGGTAGAGTAAATTAAATTATCTCACTAACAAATGTTCTAAATATCTTATTAATTAAATAATAACGTTGTTAATGTACAAAAAGATCATTTACAATAAGATGTCTACCATATAGGATGGTACTATTAAAATAAAAATCTGATAAATATGGCAATAAAAGGAATGAACTGAGCATGTGATTTTGCAAAATATTTATTACAATAATATATGAGAGTAATTTAATTGTTACCTAAGTTTTGGGTTTTTAAGCATTCCGGTAAGCACTAAGCCTGGATAAATAGTAGTAAATTTAATAGATGATTTTCCATTACTTAATTCACGTAATTCTTCAGATACAGCTTCCATCATGGCTACAATACATACATCAAAATATGTAAAAAAAGTGTATTTTATAATCATATGTATATATTTTACTATTAGTGTGATATTTTGTATAATTATGTATAATAGATGTATGTACATATATTTTTTTTTTCACAACGAATATATATATATTTTTAATTTGTGTGTGCATATATGTATATATGTGCAATGTATACGCATATTAATGTATTTATCTTCATTTGTATAAAGTTTATATTCTTATAATTGTAAAAAAATATTGTATCATTTACATCATAATATTTATATTAAATATGAGATGAATTATATATATACTTTTGACCGCGCTTTTTGAAGGGCAATACGTTGTTCCGTAAGGACCAAATCCAAAAAGTCCTATTATTGATGAAATTGCCACAATATGACCGTGATTTTTTTCTATCATACTTGGCAAGAATGCTTGCAATGTCTGAAAATAATATCTATTTTGTAAACACCGATTTACAATTTTAAAAAGTTTAGTTACATACTCGTCCAAATTGTATGTATATACTATATAGTATATTCAAATTACAAGCGACAAGCTAAAACAGTTCCATTTATTCCAAAAATGATATCAATTGCTTTAACAGTTATTTTCTATATCACGAGGTATCAACATATTTCTTACAAGAAAATACAAATATCTTCTCAATTTTAACATATCATTTTAATGATGAATGCTTAAAAAAATTCAATTTTTCCAAAGAGGTATTTTTTTCTTTTAACGCGCATAAGAGCACTTACAAAATCTCTTATTTTAATTTATATTATAATATATTTAAAGCAAAAAGGAACTCTTATATGTTTTCTCTATAGATTATATTAGAATATGTTTTCTCTATAGATTATATTACTTGCCCAGTAATGCGCTATCACGTTGACATTTATGACTCGTGTAACTTCATCGAAACTTTGATTTAGAAGTGATTTAACAATTCCTATACCAGCGTTGTTGACCAAGATAGAAACATCACCCACTTCTTTTTTTACTTTTTCCGCTACTCTGAAGACTTCTTCCCTATCTGCTATATTACATCTGTAAAACTCCCCCAAATTTTAATCAGTACTGATAATTTTACATTACAGTTTACAATTATTTGTGCACGTGTAAATTATATTTGAGTACTTTCTTCATTTAACCAAATCTTATAAAAAAAAAACAATTAATAATTTACCGATACGCATGCACAGAGTTCATTCCCATCCTTTTAATAGCGTTCATAGTCTGATTGTTGGTTTCTTCATTGATATCCCAACATACTACTGTTGCTCCTAACGAAGCATATCCAATCGCTAATTCCTTTCCAATACCATGGCCTGTACCCGTTATCTGTAATAATATAATAAAATATAATTAAAATTATTAAAAATTACAATTCACAAATTTTCAGTTTTTAAAACAGCATTTATATTATGTTTAATCTGAAATTTCATAATTATGCTTTCAAAAGAAATAACTAAATCGCTTGATTTTTAAATCAAAGAAATTAAAAATCCCATGAATAAATCAGAAATAACTACATAATGCTTATGCGAATGACTGTTTCTTCAATTTAAATTCATATTTCACGCAGCCTAAGATATGCGTCATATTGTTTATATATTGGTTATTGCAAAGAATATATCATCACATCTCAATAATCAAATAGTAGGACGCCCATCCGGCAAGTAGGGAGATCCAGATTCGATTCCTGGCTGAGATATTTTTCGCAATAAATTCTTTACAGGTTTGGGGGAAAGGGATTCTTAGAAATGATCTTAGAGATTCTAGAGAGCTTTCTGCTTTGTATTGTTTGTAATTTTATACAATCTTCTCATTTTTATTTTTAATTGATTAAATGATTAAATAAGCTTTGGAATAGTAAGCTGGTAATCACTTGTAAGAAAATTACATAGTTTGTTGTATTTATAATAAGAGAGATACTTAAATTGAGAGAAGGCCAATACGGTCATATAGCAGCTGATCTTGATGCATTTAATATTTCTATGTTTTATATTCTAGTTTCAATAAACTGCGTGCTGTTACTTTTGGATTCAACACAGCTTATTACTTGAAACAGAATAGTATTATAACGTTATTAAATTGATAACCAATTTAATAAATATTGATGCTTACCCGTATCTAATAAAATCCCTCCTCTCTCGCAACGCGATATAAAGTCCCAGGTTCAAATTCTGGCTGAGGTAATATTTTTCGCAGCAAATAATTCTTAGCATTTATATCGATCGCGTCACGTGGTAGGGAGGATTTTATTAGATGCCAATGAGCATTAGTATTTATTAAATTGATTAT